CACCAAATTCTGAAACTTTACAATTTAATCACTAACCCGTATTTTGGGATGTTACAAATTTATTTTGATAATTTTGTTTATTACCATTTAATAACAGTTATTGTAATTTGGTTATTATTTTCCATTTAATACTTATTTTAAGTTTGTTGTATTTAGAATTATATTCAAATACCAAATTATTATTAGTTTGACAAAATTAAATAATTTTGTTCGATAACTTTCTTAAGTTTGTCACTTATTATCTCTTTTATTATAATCACATATAACGCCAACGTCCAATATCGTTTTCTTGTATCATTTTGTTAATCTTCATCAGCGGTTATCGAATGGCATTAACTTTAAGTAAATACAAATTAAAGTACAAGAATTCTCATTTGATAAACAACTACATCAGTTCCTCATCAATTGTTACTTGATGACAACAGAAGTGGACATGTTCTCATAGTGTGTCCTTAGTTTCTACAATGCCTACACTATTTGTCGTGTCTATTTGTTTCTCGAATATCCATATCACAATGAATTCGAGTGAATTTTGGACGACCACGCTCCCTCAATAAACTTGGATTTGGTATAATCAGAACCCAATTTTGAACCTCATCAGAGTCTTTGTCATTACTTATGGGGGGAACTCAAATTCATATACCTTAAAAACTTCTGATAGTAGGTATACGGGATCCATAAAACGGTTATAGTTTTGACAGGTATGCGAGCAAGCTGCTATCACATGAGAGCATAGATACTTCAAAGCTTAAAAAAAACCGCAGTCGCACGTTCTGTCCCGTAGATTTACTCTTAACGACACAGCTTCAATCCCTTGAAAAGGTCACGACAACTCTGTGACATGAAACATTGCATGTGTTCTAGAGAAGCTTGTTACAGACATTCCATTTGATGCAGTAATTTTTTTTAGATCTGCAACTAATCTAGGGTGATAGACATGACCGCCTTGCATCCAGGTTTGAGATTGTCCCCCCGAGCTTCGCAAAAAGTGCCCCCAAATAAAAATATATAGTTTTTACCAAAGCCGTTACAGGTAAGTGACGTGCACCCTTTAAGGTCGAATTGATTATCTCAGCCAAGTTGGTCGCCATGTGTCCATATCGATATCCACCATCATATATGTTTGTCCACATTTCTTTATCGATGAGGCTGATGTAATCGTATCCTTCCTCGTTATTCGCCCGCAATTCTTGAAGCATGGATTCAAATGTTTGAGGAAGTAGTTCGTAACCTGATCAAAAAATGTAGAACTTACTAACTTTGTTTCTTTGCAAAATTAAAATGATCGAAAGAAAACAAACTACATCAGTTTCACTTACCCATGCACACAAGTAATTGACGCTCATCATTCTTCTTGTACCTTCCAAGGTAGTTCGCAGCAATGTGTCGGATATAATACCTATTTTGGACAAAGGGTGGTTACCACATTGGACACAAAGACTCCATTGTTGCTTTGATCACAGCTCCGCGATCTGAAATGACATAGATTTTTACCTCGTGATAACATGTGCACGTAAGTTTCGGAGGAAAAAAGCCCAAGAATCTGTATCTTCTCCTTCAACAAGAGCAAAAGCAACTAGAAGATTGTTGCGATTACCATCTTGGACAACTGCCAATAATAAAACTTGTTTGTATTTACCATACAAGAAAGTCTCGTCGATCTGGACCACAAGCTTGCAGTATTTGACAACATTAACGCACTGTGGGTAAGTCCAAAAAACCCGGTAGAATTGAGATCGATCGCGAAGAACTCAATCATTATTGTATGCATAAGAGGTTTCGAAGTCCATAATTATCCCGAGATTCAACCTCCGCACCAGCCTAAACCAACTTGTAAGTTCGTTATAAGATGCATCCCATTCGCCATGAAGTTTGACAATGACATTTTGTTTTGCCAACCAAGTTTTTTTGTAGGAGACAATATACTCATACTGCGATTGTATAGCTGAAATCAACATATCAATAGCTATATAGGAGCTTGCTTTTACCATGGGCATGATGGCTTGACAGATCACTTCAGAGTCCAAGTTGAGATGATCTTGGTTGATCCCTCCAGCACAACATGTGTGCAGACCGTTTTATATTATTAGTTCTCATTTATTGTTCTTCCTCTTCGATACGTGAACCATTCAATTGCATCTGTTTTCACGTCAGGCACAGTGACATACATATTTTTTCTGTCTTGGAGCGGTCGACTCTGGATTGAACATAATTACGGATATTGTAATTTTTATAGCCATCATCGCTTCTTCTTTGCTTGAAAACTACATGCCTAAAGATAACTCACCATTATTTATTGATGAGTAATATCCATAGTCACCGAGATGGGACATATCTGTAAATTTGGCCCATACATTGCACCATAATCAACTTCATACATGTGTGCTGGAGGGTCAGTTTGTGCCACATTTGAGGGAACTTCATCTACATCATCATCATCATCGGAGTTGAATTGCGGTGATTCTGGCTGAATGAATAGTCCAGTCTTAGCACCATCCACACCAAGCCCATGAAGCGGTTCTTCTGGTGGAGATGATGGTTCCTCTATGCTCTCCACATTTAGGTCGAAAAACCTACTACTTGCACGCATTCCCCTTGAACTAGAAAGACATATCGACATTGAGATCGAAAAAGCTCACAGTCGAATGTCTTCCATGTAGCTTGAAGTCATCGTATCAAATGAAAACTGCACAGATTGTTGCGTCGATGGCATCTCTATATTAAGGTCAAAGAAATTTGCAGATAAATGCCTTCCCCTTGAACTGGACGCGATGTTGCCATATGGATTGTTTGTGAACCCACCTCGGTACATATCGTAAGGAGTTGTTGATGAATGTCTCCCCATTGAAGTTGATGAATGTCTCCCCATTGAAGTTGATGTGACGATACCATGATGCGGATTTCCCATTATGACATTAAAATCATTACATATTACTGTAGTCAAGCTGTCAACTTGATCAACTTGTTCAGCCAGCCCATAGTGGGAGCTTAATGACTGACCCCGACTAGTACGCACTTGAACAAACTTTGCATACATCTGAATATCGTCGTCTGAATAATTACTTTGAGAATCAACCATCATTTCAACATCATCATTATTCGAACGCTGTATAAGTCAATGGCAACAATAATGTTGGAAATCTGTACTGCAATGACGATATTCTTCTACTACTTCCAACATGAACCTTCCTCGAAATATTCGTTATCAACTCCTCAATAGTTATGTTTCTCTTGAATGATATTTTAACACGCTTATTTGATACGAAAACAACGTCGATTTCATCTTATCGAATTTCTCTATCATAATAAACAATAGCTAAATGTTAAGTCATTCTTAGAGTTTAAAAGCGCGACAATATTATATCTGCAAAAAAACAACTGAAACAAACCCAATTAAATAAATAATATATGAACAAAAATATAACACAATAAAAATTTTACACATAAACGTAAATAATTTAAATAATATAATTTTATATTATTACCTGCACCGCAAAAATATTTCGACGTATACTCCCGCTTTCCAATTTTACAAACACAGAAATTAATTGAAAACAATTAGTATAATTTTTTTTCTTCAAATAATCATATATAATTATAACAAAATATTATAACAAAATTACTTTATAACGAAATATCAAACGAACTTCTGAATCAAATATAAGAGGATTGTCGGGTGTTATTTAATGGTTGAAAAGATTGTATTAATTTCTCCGTTGAGAGGGAGATGTGAGAGAGTTCAAGGGGAGGGGGCTATTTATAATGGAGAGACGATGCTTAAAAGACGAGAAGTGAGGGTAAATTATGCAAGGCGCGGTCTCTGCACCACGCCTTGCATAATGCATGTGTTATAATTAAAAGGCGCGACCCCTGCCCCGCGCTATAGCCCTACGTGACGTAAGACACACCCCAGGGGCCGCGCTTTAGCCACATGTATCTAACTCAGCATAAGACATTCAGAGGGCGCATCTTACTCCACGTGACGCTAAATCAACGTAAAACACGCTACAATGAATACGACTTTCTGTAAAGAGTGTTAAATCGAAAAATATAGTCTGAACAATACATAACAAGAAAATAAAGGTCCCAAAAAAATCACCAACTTCTTATACTTTTTTTAAAAATTAATTTGATGTTAATTTTCAACCTCATCATTATATTGATAGGATCTCAACATTACTAAGAGAAAGGAATAAAACAAAATTATTTCTCCTGTATTCAATTTTTTAATTTTAAATTAAAAAATTTTAAATCTTAAACTTTAAAGAGAACGTGCAATAGTTTTAAATTTTACCTAGTGATTTTTTTTGCTTTTAATTTTGTTAATAATTCAGTTGATTTAATAATAGAAAAAGATATGTAAATAGAGAGAGACAGAGAGATAGCGAGAGGATAGGGGTAAAATGGGGAAAGAGGAGGAAGTAGGCAATAATAGGGGGTGGGGCAGGGTATGATGTATCTGGGGAAGTAAACATGTGAGGAAGGACAGATTGAATTCAAGTTGAAAACTTGAAGTTCAAAGTGCACATGTTTTGGTACGGCTTTGTTTGAAAAGTCTTCCGCCCATAACAAGGTACACGGGTGTGGTACGTTTTCATTTTTTTGGTGAGCCACGATGACTGCCACGTTTCTATCTGCGTACAACTACGTACCCCTTCCTATCCCTTTCCCATGTCCTCTTTGTCAAACATCATCTTTCACCCTCTCTTCTCCTTTTCCTTTATATATTTTATATAGTTATTGAGTGGGATTCCTTATCATCATTATCAAGCAGAGCCCCCCGAATCCAATTACATGATGCCAACCCTTTAAGCATAAGGACACCCAATTCGTATTCTGGACAACAGATACCTACCAAGTTAATGCCTTCCCTAGGTGCCCTCTTCCACTACCAACACCTATCCACCTCTCATCCCCTCTCCACTTAGCAACCATCAATCATCTCATCATTATGTATGTATGTAGCATGAAATATAATAATAATAATACTATTCCACCAGCATACTTGCAGGAATTCCCACCCGTACAAAGTTATACAAAGCACGGAATTAAACATCATCGACACAAGGATAGGTTCACTTCACTTCTTCGCGAAAGTGATGGCCATGGGATATTGAGGGGCGATTTTGAAACCCTGGAGGTTCTGCATTGCTGTACAAGACTGCTGTTCGTCTTCATACTCCACGAATGCAATACCCGGCTTTGCTTCAAGCATCCTAACTTCCCTGAACCCAGGGTACTGTTCAAAAAGCAGTTGCAGCATCATGCTAGTTGTCTCATGAGGTAAATTCTGTACGAACAGAATATTGTTCGGTGCAGCCTGCTCTTGAGCATTCACGTTTCCATGATGGAAAGGAGCCTGCACATTCTCGGATAAGAGTTTTCCCCAATACTATGTCAGCCAACTCATCCCTCTTACTAAAAAAGCAGCCCAAAAGGTGTAAAGTCATATCTTATATATTATCTAAGCACTGCAATCAAAATACATGAGCTGCAATTCCCATAGGTAAAGCCGTTGGGTTGAGGGAGGGAGACAGACAGGAAGCAACAATTAAATCAGAAATAGTTCCGCAATTACCTTCGGTCCACCATTACTTAGAGAACCTGCACCATTTGGCATTGCAGATTGCTGTGCTTCCTCCGTGCGTCGTTTCCTTTCAGCTGAAAAATTCAGTGTATAAGAGGATGTCATCAAAATATAAAACATTTAAAATAAACCAAAAGAAAAAGTAGTTTAAATATTGGATGTAAATTAATTAGTAAACCAGAGAGATGCAAAATTTTAGTTTTTTTTTTTTAATACAAACAGCAAATGCAAAAGTTAAAATATCTGGCAACAAAATAGCACCATTAAACAATAAATCAATGGTTCAATGAAGACATTATCCCCCACAGGAATTAACAGAAGTGCTATGACAATATCGTGAAAGGAAGTTGTATTCTCCTGCCTCATTGCACAATAAATTAGCGGTCATACTGAAATGTGTTGTTTCTAAGAAAAAAAGGTAAAGGAAACCCAAATATCCAAGTTCTAACCCAAAAATGCACCGTGCACTTAGAAACTATCTTCTGTTACTCCCTCTGTTTTCCTTATGATAAAAAAAGGCATGTTGGTGGTGAAAATATTTGGTCTAATTATGAATTTCATCCTTCTACTTTACAGAAAAGTGTGAAGTTAACCCTCTATTTTAATTTGTCAAAATTAGATCCTGGTACTTCATAAAAACTACAGAAATTAGAAAATAACCAGCAGTAACATTTATAGCAACAAATTAGCAAAAATCAACAGTTAAAGTTCACGATTTCACCAACAACTCAACTGACTTCTCAGCTTCAGTAAAGCGAGAGGACCAAATTCAGACATATTAGAGCGACTAGCTTCTCAGTTTTCATAAAGTAGAAACATGAAATTCATAATTAGAGACATATACATGCATAATTGTGATAATTACATTCACATTATAACATAATGAAATAAAGAAGAAACATTTTGTTTACGTCAAATAAGGACCATGAATTACGCATAAGGAAATTTTAACTAAAAGGTAAGGCAGTCACCTTTTTGATCTTGCTTCTTCTTTTCTCTGGGAACAAAGCTTCCATCATTTTTGGCAATAAAATCCGACTTTGTCTTTGTGTATTGTATCCGCTGCATCAAATTAATCATGCATACAATCTTAAACAACATATAAATTAAACCTGGAAAACAATTTGATTGCAATCACAAGTGAAGCCTGGAGAACGAAGGAAGTTTGGTTCAAGCAGACATCTCAAGGAATTTATGAACATGGGGAGATGGGTATAGTTTTAATAGCAGATGGTGCTATTGATAGGTAGAAAAAGTCTTCATTGGGTGCAGAAGGAACAAGAGTCCTAATTTATAATAAAAATAAATAAAATTGCCCCTAAGATTCTCAGCAAATAATGGAATAACTCCAACAACATTAGTACATTAGAGATTCCACTCAGTCAGTGATACAAAGCCCAAATCAAATGCAGCAAAAACATCATTAAAGTTAAAAGAAAGAGACAAGATAGGCTTCGATTTTGATCTTTGAAGCAATCAATGTCACAAGATATTAAGGTACTCACCATAAGTTTATCATGAAATGGAAAATTTTGCATCTGACGGAAGGCGTTACTAGCAGCTTCAACTCTTCAAACACAACCCATGCTTGTCTATGAAAGCTTGGGCGTCTTCAAGGCAACAACATCCAAAATCCTTCCGTATTGAGAAAATAAACAACAAAGGGAGCTCTTTATTTCTGAAAAGAAAAAATTGTTAATGGGGAATCGATGCCATTTCAAATTCCAAACCGTAGAGAATCAGCTGGATATTTGTAAAATGTTAAGTTCAATGTCCAAGTAAAATAGGGCGCCGCTAGGGTTAAATAGGGGACTCTTGTTCCTACAGAAGGAGAAAATAACTTGTTTTTTCCTTTCTAATACCCTAGAAAAAATTTTGCGTTCCATCTAAAAAAATACAAGCAGTTGGGGCAAGATTCAATTGAAAGTCAAGTGGCTTCAGGTTAGTCTAGTTTAAAATTTCCCTCATTTTCTCAGCAACCAAACAAAAAATTAGAGAGAAAATGGTGGTACCTTCTTTTTTGATCTTCTCGACTTCTCGTTGAGGTTTTTAATGTAAATGGTTTGACTTGGAGGTATGTTTAGCATTTTCGCTGGGAGTGAACAGAGATAAAATTACTGCCTTAAACAATCCACTTTTATTAGGCTTTTACAGATTTGGATTTTCTTTTTATTCTCATACTTCATATAGCAACTATATTGTACCAACTTCATATAATATTTTTAGGTTTTTTAACTTTAATAATTAAATTTTATAATAATTTGGTATATCTTAGTTTTTTAAAATTTAATAATATTTTAGTTTTTACCCAATTACTATTATCAATGGTTGCTCCAGTTCTCCGTGTAGCATATCGAGTTGCAACTCAACTTTCAACTAAAGAGCAATTAACACACTTCCAACTAGAGATGAACATTTGTCGGATTTCAATCCGATCCGGATCGGTTTTTATCCGATCCGGTTTTTTCTCATTGAAAAAAAACCGGTTTATAAAATAACCGGTTCGGTTTTTAACCGGTTTGGAGGACCGGATATCCTAACCGGTGTAACCGGTTTCGGTTTTAAAAAAACCGGTTTTTTTTAAAAACCGGTTATAAAAAAACCGATTTTAATATTCCAGATTGCTCATAGGGAACCGATTCCCTCCCAAGGGGTACCGATTCCTCACTGAATGGTTTGGCTCCGAGATTTCCAGAATGCTCGGAGGGAACCGATTCCCCCATAGAGGGTACCGATTCCCCCTATTCAACGGTCGAAATATTTAAATTTTACACTTAGGGAATCGATTCCCTATGAGAGGAAACCGATTCCCTATGAGAGGGTACCGATTCCCCCACGCTCCAAGCATTTTTATTAAATGTTTTCACACTTAAACGGCTATATTATCTTCATTAATTATCACTAACGTTCAGAAGTGATTCAATGTGTATTTAAGCAAGCTTAGAAGCCATTGATCAAAGACAAGAAACATCAAGCAACTAGAATCAATAGAGAATCAAAGAGAAAGCATCAAACCTCAAGTTCGATAAATTCAAATACTTAATTGAAATACTTAATTAACTCAACATAATTGAAATACTTAAATACTTCCAAGTTTGATAAATTCAAATACTTAAAAACTTCCAAGTTCGATAAATTCAAATACTTAAAAACTTCAAGTTCGATAATTGAAACAAAGTTTACGATAATTGAAATAAAGTTATAAAATAAACTACATTGCCATCTCTTCTTCATCATCTTCGCCTTCTTCGTTTGGAGGGGATATTCCAAGTTCGACTTCTTCAATGTGTAAGTTTGCTTCCAAATCGGCATCAATTGCATCTTCTAGGGTGGTGATATGTTGCTTACGAGCCGCTCCATCCAAATAATCCTTTAAACAAATGCATACTTCCACCGACTCGGGACTTAGTCTTGATCTCCGTTGCGATATAACCCTGCCACTAACAGAAAAAGCGGATTCCGAAGCTACCGTAGAAGCTTGGACGGTTAGTAAATCACGGGCCATGACGGCTAGAATCGGAAATTGTGCTTCCTTTTCTTTCTACCAAGCCAAAATATCCAAACTTTCAAACTCTTCAAATGTCATTTTTGATAGAAAATCGCATGACATGTAATTTACCAACTCGCTACTTGGGGTGGTAGTACGTGATCGTTTGGATTGAGAATTTACAAGAGTGTTAAAAAGATTCAAATTTATGTTACTTGGACGTCTACTAGATGATTCCGCATTCATTCTCATTTGATCGTGTATTACACTACTTGATCCGTATTTAGTTAAATAAATTGCAAACATGTCTCGAAAATATTTGTTAAAATAATTTATTTGGTTTTGGACAAAGTTGGGTTCATCATCGGTTAGATTAAAAGCAAACGCAATTTGTTCAATTAGTGTTTCAACCCCACCAACATTTAACGTTGGGTTTAAAGCGGCGGCACAAGTAAAAATGGGGGGAATCTCCTTAAAATATTTTAAAAGTTTTTCCTTCATTGCAAAGCCAATTTCTTGAAAAACTTCGGTTTCAAATTCAAAGTCATTTAGTCGGGTAGCCAACAAAAATATTTGATTAAGAACCAACGGGCTAGTAGGGTAATAAACACCGGATAAAAAAGTTGTTGCATTTTTAAAAACCTCAAGCAAATCAGTTATTTTGGCTATAGTTTCCCAACTCGAATCCGGATAAATGTTTGGGACATGACCCCTCTCGAAAAGCCGATCGTGAAATGTTTGCAATGTTTCCCTTTGCCTTAAGGCAGTATGCATCATCATCCAAGTTGAGTTCCAACGAGTTGGACAATCCAAATTAGGACCCAAAGCTTTTTTATTAACGGACTTACAAAATCGTTTATAATCATTTAGTCTTTTGTTGTTGTTACAAAGAACCGATTTTATCATTGTTTTAAATTCTAATCTAATCGGCTCAATAACCTCCAAACCGGCTTGCACTGATAAATTAATTATGTGTGCAACGCAACGGGTATGAAAAAATGCACCGTCTAAAATCGGTGAAAGTAATATTTTCAATCTTGGAACCGCGTTTGTATTATTCGATGCATTATCAAAGGATATAGAAAAAACTTTATTTTCTAATTTATAAAGACAAATTACCCTTTTTAAAAGTGTAAATAAATTAGCACCGGTATGCGGCTCACCGAATAATTCAAACGCGATTGTTCTTTTCATCATTTGCCAATTATCTTGATCTAACCAATGTGACGTAACGGCTAAAAAAGAATTTCCGGTATTATGAGGAGAACTCCAAACGTCACATGTAAGCGACACACCATAACGGTGTTCTTGGAATCCTAAAATCATTTTTTCCCTCGCCGTACGCCACATTTTTATAGCATCTCTTCTAAGGGTAGTACGACTTACTTGAGTATAACGTAGTTGCATTAGTTGTTGAATTGTTATCGTGAAATCTTCATCATCAAAGTAGTCGAACGGCAATGCTTTTGTAATCACGAACTTTGTAAACGTTTCTCGTAATTTTTCGTTGTCGTAAACAAAAACACCACCTTGCGGTGTAAGATTCGATTGACTAGGATCCGATCTTGACAGAAGTGCCTTGCATGATTTTGTCAAATGGTTCTTCAACGTTGTGTTTCCTTCCGATGCAAGAAACTTTAGACAAAGTTTACAACGCGCCCTCCTCGAGCCATTTGACATCTCACATAAATCGTAGTGATCCAAAATGTCTTTGTTTCGAGTGTGTTCGATCACTCTCACGACTTCAAGGTTTCCCCCGACGGAAGATTCAGCCGTGTTACTCATGATGAACAAAAAATTACAAAAGTAAGATTTGAGAGATGTTTAAGTGTTGTGTAATAAAATTTGAGAAATTTGTAATCAACCAAATACATCCCCAACTTATTTATACATGTTTAGGGTGGTACAATGGTAATTTTTAAAGAAAAAAACGGTCAAAAACGGTCACAAAACCCCCCCCAACGGCTATATTAACGGCTAGTTTTTTAAACCCAGACCGGTTTTTTTTTCCGGTTAAAAACCGGTTTTTTATCCGGTAAAAAAACCGGTCTAAGTTTTTTTCTCCAAACCGGTTAAAATAACCGGTTAAAAAAAAATCCGATCCGGTTAAAAAAAACCGGTTTTTCCCAAATCCGATTTCGGATATTTTTTTCGTAAAATCGGATATTCGGATTTTTTGTGCACCCCTACTTCCAACCTCACGAAACTACTCAAATTTTACTATTTTCGATTGATGTCCTATTTCTACGTCCATTTGCAACTCAGCTTCCAACTAAACTAAGTACTCTTAAGATTTCTAGGGTAAATGGCTTTAGCATTTAGGTCCATGATGCAGGATGCCAACTGCTTTAGGAAAACGTCTAGACTGCCCAACACCAAATGTTCCTGCAGGTTCCCTGCTAGTTTTCCTCGTTAGTTTTATTTTAACGAGACATGAGCAAGTCTGCTTTTTATGATTAAATCTTGTAATACCATCATCAATTGAGTTGCATACTTGCAAATAGATAACGACACTGCATTATTTGATTTTTTTTCCATTAAATCTTGTAATACCATCATCAATTGAGTTGCATACTTGCAAATAGATAACGACACTGCATTATTTGATTTTTTTTCCATTAAAAAAGAGGTCACATCAAAATCTTCTGATTTCCTACTCTACTATTTATGATCTATAAAGCGAAATGAAATAAGGACACAATAAATCCTAATATATATATATATATGATAAAAGTTGGGTCTTCTAAATTGTATGTAGGGTGAAAATCAGCAAAATCCTCGAAGACATAAGCAGCCAGCTTGATTCAGTAAACCTTCGAAACCTGTAAGTGTGATTAGAATTTACAAATGAAAACATTAAACAAAATGAAACAGTAATAGATGAAAAGAAAAGTCAGATTACTGAGCTCCAATTGTGCTCGGTTTGAACCCATCTTGGGGAGAAGATCACCTGCATGTGTGTGAGTGAGAGAGAGCTTACCAGTTGTTACATGTAAAATCCCTGTCTCCAGTCTGAACCAACATCTGCGGTATTCGTCTTTGCTCACAAGATCACATGAACACCCTATGCTGTCAGTATTTTCACTTCTTCGGTAATGAACATATCAGGGACGCAAAAGTGCCGTGAAAAACCATAACTGATTTCAAGGTT